CTATAGACTTTGATTCCTTTGCTAGGAGCCTGTTTGGATATACTGAGCCAGAGGGGGCTCCCAATTGGTCGTCCTCGACCCTAATCTTCGATTGACATCTGTTGTGTACATCTGCCCAGGTCACAGCGGGATACTCAACCAAGTTCTGTTTTAGCTACTTCGAAGCTATCGAGCTTTGACCGTTCAAGCCCTGAGTGAAGGCCTGCACTGCTCAGTCATCGGAGACCGGTGGTAATTCCATTCGCTCCATCTGGAAGCGAGATACAAATTCCCTCAGCATCTCGTTCTCCCTTTGTTTGATCTTGAAGACGTCGGACTTCCTTGTAGCAACCTTGATGGCACCGGCATGTGCCTTCACAAAGAATCCGCCAAAATGGCAAACGAATCTATCGAGTTCGGGGGTAGGTTGTGATACCACATCATAGCCCCCTTTGACAGTGTTTCTCCAAATTTCTTTAGCAAGATGGACTCAATTTCGTCATCCTTTAAGTCATTCCCTTTTACAGTACAAGTATAAGCGGTAATGTGCTCATTGGGGTCCATGGTCCCGTTATACTTCGAGACATCGGGCATTCTGAATTTCTTTGGGATAGGCGTCGGAGTCGCACTTGGTGGGAATAGTTTCTGTATGAATTTCTTTAAATCTACGCCCTTCAGAATCGGGGGTGCGCCCGGGATCTGATCGACCCTCGAGTTATAAGTCTCTACTTTTTTATCGTTAGCCTCTTTCTTCTTTTCTCCTGATTCATTCCTTTTGGTGAGGTCCTCGAGCATCTTCATAATAGCGGGGTCTGATGTTGACCCGTTGTTACTCGATCTCTCTGGTGCCTGCTCGACTCGAGGAGCCGTTTCCAGTGCTGCTGCGCTTGGAGTTTTTTGTTGACTTTGTAGCTGAGCAATAGCCACTTGTTGTGCTTGCAACATCTCAAAAATGACTTGAAGGCTAACTTCTCTTTCCTCCTGAGCTGGAGTCCCCTGTGCTTCACGCCGATTTTCCCCGCGCACACTTCCGTCGGTATGAGAGTTTACGTCGACATGCACAGCGTTGCGTGAGCTCACGTCGACGGGGATTTGTGCTGGTGCCACCCCTGGGTTTTACGGTGGTACACCAGTATCTGCACCGTTCTCTCCATGAAGCCCAATACCGTTGTTTTCATGTGCGTTTGCTGAGTTAGACATTTTTTGACCTGAAATCAGAGATTCTTGGACAAGAAAAAGTGTGAAAGATAATTTGTGTTTTCAGAAAACTAGCACCAAAATAGTCACTATTATTTTTAGCCCCATAGTGGGCGCCAAACTGTTTACCTTGAAAATGGTATTTACAATTATATTTAATTTTGTGGTTCTAAAAATATGCGATTTATTTCAATACTAGGTTTTAGGCAATAGATGCTAAGTATAAATAAAGAGAATAAGATATGCAAACCAAAACTATCGCAAGACTGAGTCTCGAGCTGGCTGGAACAAGGGCTTCGAGGTAGTTAGAGCGGTTAGCAATGAACAATTTGATGAAGAAACAATGATAATGAAGGCCTCAAAGGTAGCCTTTTTCGGTTAATAATGGGCAATAAATGGTGAACAATAAATGAACAAAAGATGAACAATAAATGAACAAGCAATAAATGAATAGAGCAGTTGTGGAGCACGTTTAAGCAAGAAAAGCAGAGAATGTTGTATTGTATTCAATAACGTGTCGTTACAAAATGACAAGGGTTCCCTTTATATAGAAAGGGGAAATCCCAACACAGTACATGTCTAATCATGACGAAGAAATGCTATTGGTACAGCTGTATAACGGCTCAATACGGATTTGCACTATTTCTCACAGACTCTGTTAGTTCTGATCACGTGCCCTTGGGAACTTTCCACCTTTTCATGACGGTCATCGATTTGTACTACTCCGAGATTGACCCTCGATATGCTTCCTCGAGGGATGCACCTCGAGGTCACATTTCGAATTTTGCTTCGGGCTTCTCGAGGTCGGGCGTGGAGTGCCCCGGTAGCCCCAAAGTCGAACTCCCCGATTTTGGCCGTATACACATAGCTTATTAATATATGTATGATTTTTAAAAAAATTTTATACTCATCGATATAGAGTTCACGCGCAACGTGCGTACCCTAAAGCTAGTTATATAAAATGGGCAGAGAGGTATTATATAACTCGATCCATCATATCATAAAACGATAATTTATTATTTACTGCTACTATTTATTATTGTAATTATTATTTGTTGTCAATATTACTTATCTATATATTGTTGCTTTTTTATTATTTTATTTTTAATTTTGGGTTCGGTTTTTAAATTTTATTTTACGTATTTCTTGAACTCCCCTGTCTATATCTATATTATTATAAAAGCATGAATACAATGTTGGTTTACAAATATAACCTTATAATATTAAGCATAATAACTCATAATAAAAGGACATAACCGGAATTCTAGATATTAGCCTTATAATCCTATTAGTTTTACGTTACTACTCACGCTAGCTTCAAATTAAGTGCAAAAGGACTTATCGTTATTTCAGTGAGTGAAGTCTAACAATGAATTTGACCCATTTACTTATCCATGTGATAATTTTTACAATTTGGTTCCAACAATGTAGAGGAACAAATTTTGTGTCCAAAATTATTTATAACTCTATATTTATTAACCGGAAGAACTCATAGGGAAAGGACATAACTGCAATAACCTATTTTTTGAACTACAATATCTTCTATGTTAATTTTTAATATATAAAATTAATAAAATCTTGTCTATTGAATTCTTATTAAAAATATGTAGGAAGGTTTAATAAAATCAATTTCATAAGAATCCTCCGAATTGGCAATACATTACCACTACATAATATCCCATACGAAGAAAAAATAAAAGTAATATTAANTCTTTGAAAATAAAATTATAGTGGATAAAATTATAATTAAGATTAAATATTACAAAACAAGAGTAGAACTAATATTAAGATCTGAATCAACATAGAATAAATTATTTTTATGTTAAAATCAAACAATTAAATTTTTTAATTAATTATTTAGCAAGAGAATCCAATTCAATTATTTTTTAAATTCATCATATGAGTAAAATTCTTATTCAAGTTAAAAAAAATCTTAGGGTACATAACTTTATTTCATAAAAAACAGCGTTAAACACAAAGTAAAAAGGTTAGTATATTATTAAGAATCAAAATACTATATACAAGTGTCTGAGGAAGCATAATCAAAGCTAAATCCTAAATAAGAATACGTTTTCAAGACTATATTATAAAGAGTCGACTCTGGTATAACGCGATTATTCTTTGTAGATGCCTCTGGCGTAATTGAAATAATATTTGTATGTCATGCATTACTTTCAAATATCATATCAAGAGGCATGACACTATTAGCAATAATAGCAAGTGGTATACCCACAACGATTTTATTGTGAGATCAATTACTGTAGATTTGATATACCTCTTCAAACAACTTATATAACCATCACAAATAGACCAAAACAGAGCAATGTTGATAAATTTATAAGGAAAGCAAAATTGATAATGTGGGATGAAACACTTATGGCTAAGTGTCAAACGACCAGAATAATTGACCGGAGTTCTAGAGATATGTTGGATATTAATGAATCGTTTGGTGAAAAATTAATGGTTTGGGAGGCGATTTCTGTCAAGTACTACCAGTAGTTCCAAAATCGACAAAAGCAGAGACTGTAAAAGCTAGCTTGCCAAAGTTATACTTTTAGCCTCAAACGAAAAAGATTTAACTTACAAGAAATATAAAGTAAGAATAGATCCAATATTCAGTGTCTTCTTGCCGTGTCGGAAACGAAGAAGAGCATCCAATAAAAGATGATTTGGTTCTTCTTAAACACTTGGTTGTCAATCCCAATGGTAATAATAGTGCATTTAATATGAGAAATATTTTTTTATCATTAGATTAAAATATAATTTGTGCAAAATGCATAATTGAATTAAAAAGATATCTTAGCTAGAAATGAATATGTTGATCAACTAAATAAAATGTCGATTGTAAAATTTTATAGTAAAAACAAAATGTTTTTCAGTTTTTGATTTAGTAGAAAATGATACCAATAATTTCTACCAAGAATAATACTTAAATACTTTAAAACCAAATGACCTTCAACCATACACGTTTGTTGTCAAGTTTCTTATTTCTTACGTATATTACTGTCACCGTATATATAATAGACTAAGTTAAAATTGATCTGCATTGTATATAAGTAAATTTTGAAGAAAAATATGCCTGTCATGCTACTGAAAAACTTAGATACGCCGAGTAGCTTATGTAATAGCACACAGATGGTATATAGAAGTTTTGACAATAATGTCACACATGCAAAAAATTTGATATTGGTTAATGTGTTTCTAAGTATATTCTTACCCCTGAATTCAACTTTCGTCTTCCGAAACTAAGGAATATCCTTTTAAATGTGTGTGAAAATAATTTTTAGTCTATTTATGTTTTGTAAATATAATAAATAAAGTGCAAGGACAAACATCCTAAATATTGGACTATATTTACCACAATATATTTTCTTGCACGAACAACTGTATGTTGCACTTTCAAGGGGGATATCCAGATCGACAACAAGAGTTCTGGTTAAGGCAGAGCAACCAGCGCATTAGGAGAAAACATACACAAAAAAATATTGTCCACAAAGAAGTGTTCGTTAAGATACCATCACATTAATAACTTTTAAACTATAATATATAATTTTTCTAACTAACATGATAAAATTGATCATTTGTGTAAGATTTGATAATGTCCTTTTATTTTAAATTCATGTATTATGCTAATTATGTAATAATATTTTCGGCATTTAGATGATTGTTATATTGTTATACATAAAATTTCTTTCAATAATTAAATTTTATTGTTCCTTCATATAAATAAATATTTAAATCATCACGCGCCATTATTAACGTGTATCCCGTAAGTTTTTAAACAATCAGAGGCAAGACACGTCGTCCCTAGAAACTCCCGACCCGAAGGGTTTTTCTTTTAGCTCTTTTGAGTCTCGACACAGCATGAGAAAAGAGGGGTTTTAGGCTCAACCCCAAAATCCACCTTTGCTTCTGCACAGGCATCGAATCTACAATTACTCAACCCAATGCTTATAAACCTAGTTCGGGTTACATAAACCCCTGAAATCTCTGCAGAAAAAAGATGGTAGCAGCTGCTTTGAGTGGCAGAGCAAGGCTGAACACTTTAACTTTCTTATGCCATTCTTGTTTCAATCGATTGAACTACAGTATCTCTGTTGGATTACACTCTGCGAAAGCAATTCGGCCATTCAATACACTGCATCGGTGTAGAAATTTCTTTCTTAACGTGAGTATTATTCTTTTGGATTTTTAGCTTCTCTATCTCTAAATGCTAGTAAATGCTTTTTCTAGGCTTTTACCCTTTGGAAATTCTTCAGTTCGTTGCTTCTTGCATTTTCTCTATTAGCTGTTTTTTATATATATACTTTTTGGAGTGGTTAAGTAGGCTATTCTTTATTTCCTTGAAATTTAGTGATTTTTTCCTAATCCATTTATAAAAGAGCTTTTAGATAGGGATTTTTCTATTTGTGCAAGTGCGCCAAGAGTGTAATATCATTTTAGTAACCAGTTAAAAGAAGTGAACTTTGAGACAAGCTGGCCCAACCATGCCGGTTTTTGACCTTTCATAAGAGATATGATTAGTGAAAATCTCATTTTATAAAGGTTGCAGTACATGATGTTTCTTCTTTTCCTTGATTTTTCCTTTTTTGTTTTTTTGGTGGTTGAGCGGTAATGGGAGTGAGTTAAAATGATATTAGCAGGAAATTTGATGTTGAGGCTGCGAAACTTCTTATGCAACAATAAATTGTGAGATTGTAATTTCTAACAACAGTCCTTGTTAAGGAACAGCTTTGTCATGTATTGAATGGATAAGATATTCTGAACCAGGCTTCACTTCCCTCTTGCATTCCTGTATCTTGAGGCACTTGCTTTATCTGTTTCTAATGGTAAATTACATGGTTTTTGTCTTTTAATCTTGTGATTTACTGCTAATTTCTAATACAGAATTGTATTAAATCCATCCCAGTTGGAGCCCTCTTCGATTGGCCAACTTTTTCTCCTAGTATTTTGTTCATTAGCCGCCAATCAATCTCAACCCAAGCATTCCCTGCTGAATTTGTCGATGAAGCGTTGATGGAAGTCCTTTCGGTTATGGCTAATTCACAAAGTTCAGGAGAGGAACTGTGTGCTGCTTATGTTGATAAGTTTTGCAATGACAGAAATCTATCAGCAGCCGCTAAGCTTTTGCAGATTTTGCAGGATAAAAATATCCTCCTTCCCCCCAGTGCATACAATCGCCTTCTGAAAGCTGCAGGCGAGGAAAACGATATTGGCCTTCTATGTCAAAGTTTCAAGGATCTATTAGTATCTTGCAAATCTCTGAATTCATCTACATATCTTATCTTTGCTCAGGCTTTTATCAAGGAAAATGATGTTGCCTGCTTACTAAGATTTGTCCGGGAGATCTCCGAGTCGATTTTTCCAAGTACTGCTACAGTTATGAATAGGATCATCTTTGCCTTTGCCGACTGTGGACAGGTTGATAAGGCCTTGATGATTTTTGATCAAATGAAGAGTTTGAAATCTAAACCTGATGTGGTTACATATAACACCATTTTGGGAATACTAGGCCGGTGTGGTAGAACAGATGAAATGCTTAAAGAGTTTGTGGCCATGAAAGAGGATAGTCTAATTCCTGATATTGTTTCTTATAATACCGTAATTACTGGACTGCGGAGGGTAGGCAGGCTTGAATCATGCTTAGTATTTTTCAAGGAGATGTGTGAGAGAGGAATTAAACCAGATTTGCGGACTTATAATGCTTTGATTGACAGCTTTGGAAAATGTGGTAATATTGAGGAATCACTGAGATTTTTTAATGAGTTGAAGCTCAGGGGATTCCGCCCATCAATTCATGTTTACAGATCACTGATCAGTAATTTAAAGAAGATGGGGAAGTTGGAGTTGGCTGTTGCTTTTTCAAATGAGATGAAAGAATCAATCTCAAACCATCGTGGACCAAACAATATTCAACAGAAAAACAGATAGTTTTGCAGTTCAAAAGTAATAGTGGATACCGGTTGAGTAATGTTTATAAAGAGCATCAGTTTGCTCCATGCTGTTGCTGCTGCTATGTTCAACAAGAATGGATCTGTTGTGGTATGTATTTCATAGAATAGAATATAATGTTCATAGTATATGAGTACTGTTATTATAGGCGCAAGCTCTCGTTTAAGTGCGTATTTAAGTTAAAGGATATTTTCTTTTGGTTACAGGCCAGTAAAATTTTGAAGACCAGCCATCTGGTCCATCATAGGCTGGGTTGCCCACGTGATGGATCTCTGATTCGAATCTCTAGGGAGATGGATATTCACGAATTTTTCGAGGTGCTTTCTCTCTTCCGTTGGTTCTTACTATGCCCCTATCCCATCGGAGAGAGAGAGAAAAATACTTCTAGTTGAAGATTGGTGGTGTAAATATCAAATTACATCTTTTTGGATGTTGTAACCTCATTCATTGGTAGTTCAGTGCAAATTGTAAATGGTGAAAAAGGGATTCTATGCTGCATGAAGCATGAAACGTTTTGGAGAAGAAACAGAGATTTAAAAAATAGTTTAATGTGTCTCATGCTGACCCTTGTATGAAATAATCTCACCTTCTTTGTTCTGTATCTCATTGGTGAACTATATATTCTCATGATTCATTGAAGGCTTAAGGTTTTAGCAGTTACATGATGCAATTTATTTTAGAGGGAAGTCTCTCAAATGCTTAATGAGTAAAGTGCAAAAATACTTGCAGACGTGTGAAATTCCATTTCTATAATAAACAAGTATATGTGTTTAATAATACGCCCTTGATAAGTGCCAAAGAGACGGAATAAATAGCTAAAGGAAATCGGTTCAGGAAATATAATACTAACAAAATTTCTCAATTACAGTAAGTAAAGAAGAACAAATCAAAGTTGGGTTTGGTGGAAAAGTCAGATGCTGCTTCAGATTCTGCTAGAGTCCCTCCCAAATGTGAAACGCCTTATCCAATCAGATACCACCAACACCCTTGTACGCCAGCTGACTAGCTTGCTGAAATATGAAACCAAGCACATATTAATTTGGAACTCTAAAAACATATATTGTTTAGTTTGCTACAGACACTGGGTGCTGAGTTAAAGTTTTTTTTTTTGTAATGTGACAGACTTGTTACCTTGCATATACTGAATACCAGAGCCACTGGGTACTGTGACCTATTGAAACCCAGTCTCCAGGGAGTTGAGCTGCAGTCTGTTCCCCACCCAATGGTGCAAATTGCCCCAAATGCCTATACCTGTAAGAGAGGGAAAAAGAAGGGGTAAAAACATTGAAGCATAAGATCAGAAAAAAGGTAAAGAGTGAACATTAGTGTCAACTCTAACCAAGAGGAGTCATATGATTTCCTAAAATATGTTTCTGTAATCCCTAAGCATTCTTGCTAGAGTTGATGGTGTTTCATGCCCTACCTAAAAGGATGAAAGCGATGGCGGCCCGTTCCTCGGAATCTTAGTGGACCTTCAGGATTAGCTTCACATATTTCCATGCGATTGAAACAGTCAGCAAGGTAACTACCTTGTTGAGCAGCAACCTAGGTGTAGAAAATAATAACAGAAGCATAAGATGAGGAATTATAGAAGCATATAACAAGAGAAAATAATCTATAAATTTACCTGTGCTGTAGCAGGAAGATTTTTCATCTGGGAGTCTACTTCAGCAAGTAGTGACTTGAACTTTTCAATGTTAATTTCAGCATCTTCTTCTGAACTCTTTAGTAAAGCATTAAAGTTGTTCAGCTGCCTTTTCTTCAGATAAAGATCCACTTGAGGGTACCTCTCACATATGTCATGGATCACTTCTTTAAAATCTTCTGCCCTCAGGGTACCAGAATTATCCTTGTCTGCCTTGCTAAATATGATTCCAATATCTTCCTGTAATGTAAATATAAATTCTAAATATTTTAAAAAAAACTTGGTAGTTCCTTAACTTGTATAAAGATGAATGAAATTTCATCCACTTTGCTGAGGGTCTATCGGAAATAACTTCTCTGCCTATGTACATCCTACCCTCTTCAAACCTCACTTATGGGAATACACTGGGTTGTTGTTGTTGTTGTTTCATCTACAACAACAAATACGCCTCGGTCCCAGATGTGAAAGCATGATATTGTTCAATTCCTGATCATGAATTTCAAAGTTGTACCAATTTATGAGGGAGAGTGAGGGTGGAACTGAGAAGTATAGTTAAGTCCGCACAGTATATTCAGGATTACTAGTTGCAATACTTCATTTAATCAGGGATTTGAAGTAGAAAAGACCATTATACAAGTTGAAACTTAATGTTCCAAGAAATAATACTAGATTGTTCAAATTCAGTACATATAAGAAATCAATCTAAAGATTGGTCAACTGTACCATGACTTTGCGTTGGTTTATTGTGGCACAATCACCTAACGCATAAATATCGCTGCACCCTTCAACTCGGAGCCATTCATCTGTTGCTAAGACTCGCCTGTTTATCTGCAAACCATCAAGAAACAGAGGTTCATCTTTGAACCGATGAAAAAAGATTGGCGCAAGGTGATGAAACACAAGGAATTCAGTAATAGTAAATGAACATACCTGACCAATTTGCTTCATGAAATCCATAATGACAGGGCGAGTTCCAATACCAGTGGACCAGACACACATTCCAAATGGTATTGTAACAGTTTGTCCGGTGCTTCTCTCTTTTGTTGATATTTCACGATCACTTACTTTCACCACCATTGATCCAGTTTTCAGCTGAATACCATCTCTCGCAAATTTTTCCTCAGCAAAAGCTGTAATTCTTTTGTCAAACCTGAAAGCCAACAATAATCTCTGAGCCAGCAAACAAGTTACAAGCTATAATGTACTACTGCAGAGAATGTTGTTTTACATGTTCAGTATATGATCACCAGCCTCAAGGAGTGTTATCCTCGCATACTGTTTAAGGGCAGGATACAACTTGGCGAGATCCTCTTTGACAAAATCATGAAGCTCAGCAGCAAACTCCACGCCGGCTGGACCACCTCCAACTACCACAAAGTGAAGAATTCTCCTTCTCTCCTCTTCACTTATGCTGGGAATGCTTGCCCTCTCAAAACAATCTATCACATTCCTACGAATTCTTTGAGCATCTTCAACTTCCTGCAAACAAATATCATTTCCTCCTTCTTCAAATAAGGTAGTATCAGAAGGCTCAAATGCGACTATACTTCAATTCATTGACTCATTGATTCAGTTAAGACAGTTGCTCAGTAAGTAAAGCTACCTTCAGAAAGTGTGCATTCTCCACAACACCAGGGGTGTTGAAAGTATTTGCTCGAGCTCCCATAGCTATCACCAGATAGTCATAATCTACGGTAAACTCTTCTGTGCCACCACCCAAATGACTTTGTTGGGTTGTTTTACAGTGAACTTTCTTGTTTACTGTGTCAATCTTGTAACACTCAGCTTCCTTGAAATCAGCATCAAACTTTTTCTGTACAGAGAAAGATACAAGCTTATTATTAGAAATTATTGGTCGGAAAATGGTTAAAGAAAACAACTAACCACCCATATTATCTACTAAAAAAGGGGTTTGATAATGAACTTTTTAAAAACGGGTCAAATATGGATAAAAACCATATTATCCATTTAAAAAATGGATTACCGATGGATTACTAATGGTTTAACTTTTACATTTGTAAAAGTTCAAATCGGGGGTTCCTCAAGTTTGGGAGACTAAGAATTATGCTAAAAGTGATCATATTCATGAAGTCATGGATAATATGGTCCGTCAGCTAACCCGTTTTTTATTCGTATTAAATATGGGTCAGGTCGGATAATTTATCCGTTTTTTCATTACATGTTTTCGACCCGTCCCATATCCGACCCGACTCACCCATTTGCCACCCCTAGTACAAATACTTAAAACTCCAAAATTTTAAGGGCCCGTTTGGTCATATAATAAAATTACTTTTTTCCAGAAAATTTTCACGTTTTTTCCGAAATCAATGTTTGGCCATGAAAATTTCAATTTTCACTTGAAGTTAAATTTTGAAATTTTTCAGAAAATTGAAAAACTCCAAAAAATTTATTTTCACTTGAAACCACTCACAAAAATTCAAAAACAGCTCCAAATTGTATTCATGTCCAAACACAACTCTAATTTTCATTTGAATTTCTGAAAAATTATGTCCAAACGGCAGTAAATATGCAACAAAGACATCACTTTGGAGACTTTGAAAAGACGAAGGATATGTTATACTACCTTTTTGACAATATTGCGAATTGGTTCTACGATGCTTCTTGCTTCAACTGTGCCACAGGTAACACTAGGTAACAGAGGAGTGAAGGCAAAATAGTTGCGAGGAGACACGACCTGAACAGAATATGAGGGGTCTTTCAAATTCTTAAGGAAACTAGTTCCGGCCCAGCCTGTTCCAAGCACTACCACTTTCTTCTTCTTAACATCATTTTGACCTGCATCAGCATATACTGCAGCTAGCCCTCCACCACTACAAGTCCAAAGCAAAACAATTAATCAATTGTCCCCAATAGCTACATGATTCCACTCTACACGCTCTTCATTCCCATATGAAAATATTGCAGGCAAATTTATACAAGTACTATCTTATATGTAGCCGGCAGAAATATTAAACAGAAACGAAGTCTCTGTTACACCTTCAAATAAAAAGTTGCAACGTATGACTGATAATGAAAGCAAATAACTGTGAATTGTGTTAGCAATTGCGTGAAGGAAATTCAAATTCCTCAACTTATCTGTCCAGTATGAACGTAAGTTTATCTTTGGAAAACAGAAATAGAATTTAGAATTTTGTTTCACGTCCCGAGATGCAGAGTCTTACTGACCGGCAGGGGCGGACCTAGCCTATTACGGGTTTAATTGAATCCATAACTTTTGACGCGGAGTAAAAATTTTACATGTAAAAATTTATTAAAATTACAAAAATAATAGATATGAACCCATAACTTTAAAATTGTAACGGGTTCATACTAAAAACTTTAAAAGGTGAACCCATAGGGATTAAATCCTGGATCCGCCTCTACTAATCGACCCAAAATATTACTCCCTGAGTTACTATAAATAGTTGTTTCAAATTATTTGTCATTTAGAAGTTCAAGACAAAATCGATTGTTTTTTTCTTTTTTACCCTTAGTAATAATTGTTCTTGAAGATAGATATAACACATAAATAGAATAAATATTCAATAAAGAAAGATTATATTTTAAGACATAAATAAGGGAAGAATAGTCTAATTCCTTTCCTAATTAATATTTCTTAAGGGCATAAAAGAGAAACACGACACATAATATTAGACAGAGGTAGTAATTTAAGTGGCACGTCAGCACATTGATGACCAATATAAAAGTGCACATTCAATTTGAAGCTATCTTAATACACCCACTAGTTTTCTCTAGTTATAGTTTTGAAATAATGAACTATCGGGCTAAAAATAAACCATACACACTGCAGAGTCAGATCAAATTCCTCTATAAGGAACGAGCATGGAAAATGGTTGCAAGAAAATCAAATGTATATAAATAACAACATTGATGACAACCAGACATAGCAAATGCAGATTAGATATATATGCTCTCTGACAAGCAAAAACTTTAACAGAGACCATAACAAATCTGGAAATACTATATCCATTGGAATTGGT